GAGGTGGGAGGGCCTCCGGGGCTGTCAGTGCTGCAAGGGTTCGATACAGAGGAGGAGTCAACTCTTCGTGCCCAGAGAAGCTCCTCCGCACCCTACCCGACCTGGGCAGGCTCCACAAACTGACAGGCTTCTTCCCAACTGGCATCTTCCTCTCTAAACATCAAGTCAGACTACAGTAAGCTTTTCCTGACAGGCTGGGTAAGCAAAGTGCATCACATAACTGGGAAGGGCACGTTGCAGAGGACACCCCGAAACAACAAACATCTACGCAAGGTCTGTACTTCTGAAAATGAGTGAGCCCGTGTGCGTGTGTGCGCGTGCCCGAGGGCGTGTACCAGAGGTGGAGGATGGCAGAGGCTGCTCCTACCTTCTGATAGTCTGATAATTCTGGTCCTGATTCTCAAGAATAAAGAAAAAAGAAAAATAAGAAAAACAAATCAAATGAATCACAGAGAGCAGAACAGCTGGCTAATTTTTTGTTCAAAGAAATCAAGCTTGAGGTGGAGGGAAAACCCAAGGGAAGACAGGAAAGAGCTAAGGCTTTGGGGGCAGCAGCTCTCTGTCCGAACAAGTCCCGCTGAGCTGGAGGTGGACGTCTGCAGGTACTATCTAGTGGCAGAATTTGATCAGCAGGCAGTCAGCTGCTTGAGTTTTTAGTTTATTCTGAAAAGCCCTGAAATCCCAAACTGTTTCCAAGTTCCTAGGTAATCTAGTTTCTTTTGAAACAAATTTCTACATTTTGGTTATAGTTACATTAACGAACCTAAGCCTAAGATTTGACACAATGCTTTTACCAACGAGAAAATACTCCACAACCAAGTGCAGGCCATTAAGCAGGTCAAAAACCAAAATATGTACACATCTTTGTGGCTAAATTATGCCCATCTTCTTCCTAAGTACACATGACCCAGGTAGTTATGAGTAGTCAGAAGCCATGCTTTACAAATTCAGAGGGGAAAGATCAATCTAAGGCCACAGTAATTCTACAAGACAAATCTAGAAACTAAGCCACTAGTGAGGATCCTGTCAAATCCCAAATAAAATCATCTGCAGCACCATGGGCAACAACTACTGAAGCGTTTTCTTATACACCGCAGACTTAGAGGTAGAAATAAAAGGGACAATCCCCAGCAGTGTCTGAGAACGCTGGCCTCGAAGACAGAAGTCAGTGCTGCTTTTCCTGTGCTAGAGTTCCACACCTTGACAAAAAGGCTTTCAAACACTGTCAGTTTGTATGAACCCATGGGCAGAACATGATTCTCATATTCAAAGGTGCTGCTGGTTAATACCTGCTCCCTGATAGCATGAAGACGGCTAATTACAAAAGCTAATGAAGAAGTCAATCACTATCCATTTATTGGGGCTGGTATTGTAACGTAGCCCATTAAGCTTCTGCCTGCAGTGCCAGCATTCCACACGTCTCTAGAGACCTGGCTGCTCCACTTCAGATCCAGCTCCCTATTAATTGTCTGGGAAAGCAGCAGAAGATGGCCTAAATGTTGGGGCTCATGCACCCATGTGTGAGACCCAGAGGAAGCTCTGGGCTCCTGGCTTCAGCCTGGCCCAGTCCTGGCTGTTTTGGCCATGTGGGGAGTGAACCAGCACGTGGAAGACTGTTTCTGTTATGTAACTCTGCCTTTTGACAAAGAAACAAAAATAAACATAAACCAAAACCAAAAAATACCCCACCCCCCCAAAAAATCCCCAATTATCCATTTCTGTAGAAAAATAACTACTAAGAATGTCAATATTGAGGGCCCCGCATGGTAGCCGAGTGGCTAAGGTCCTTGCCTTGCAAGTGCTGGCTCCAATCCCGGCAGCCCCACTTCCCACCCAACTCCCTGCTTGTGGCCTGGGAAAGCAGTCAAGGATGGCCCAAAGCCTTGAGACCCTGCACCCATGTGGGAGACCCGGAGGAGGCTCCTGGCTCCTGGCTTTGGATTGGCTCAGCTCTGGCCATTGTGATTACTTGGGGTATCAATCAGCGGATGGAAGATCTTCCTCTGTATATCTGACTTTCCAATAAAAAATAAATAAATCTTGGGCCTGGCGCGGTGGCGCAAGAGGTTAAGGTCCTTGCCTTGTACACCCGGGATCCCATATGGGCGCCGGTTCTAATCCTGGCAGCCCCACTTCCCATCCAGCTCTCTGCCTGTGGCCCGGGAAAGCAGTCGAGGATGGCCCACAGCCTCGGGACCCTGCTCCCGCGTGGGAGACCCAGAGGAGTCTCCTGGCTTTGGATCGGCATAGCAATCGGCCGTTGCGCTCACTTGGGGAGTGAATCATCAGACGGAAGATCTTCCTCTCTGTCTCTCCTCTCTGCATATCCGCCTTTCCAATAAAAATAAAAAAATAAATCTTTAAAAAAAAATCAATATTGATAAATGATTTTAAATAATAAAGAAGTCTCTAAGGGCTATAAGATGAAAGAACAGAGCCAGAACATAACCTAAGGTAAATAAAAATAAATAAAAAGCTTGGTGGCCCGCTTGCTGTTGACTTAAGTATGCCTGGAATGGATGATTTAGGTTTCTAAGCCTCAAGTTAATTACTTAGGGTTTGTGAAAAATTCTGAACATTTTGTTTGAGAGTAATAAGATTATTTACATAGGCAATAAGATTATTTCACTCTAGCAAGTGCTCCAGAGTCTGAAGAGGGTGTTCCAAAGTGTACATCACACTATTCAAATCCCCTGAATTCTGAACTCCAGAACACAGCAGGCCTTGCAGGTCTCTAAGGAGCGACTGCTAGTTTCTATGTAGTTCTTTTTCCTTCTATGCCCCTAGGACAATTAAAAGCCACTAGAGATGATTCCGTAATATTGAAATCTATTAAAACACGACAGTTAAGGAACATATTAAATCTAAGCTTAATTCATTTTCCCTACAAATCTAGAGATGTGGTCATTAAAAATATCACTATAAATTTGGATAATAAGATTTCAGTAATTATATATTTCTGTGTTCCTAGCCCAGTATTTCAAAATAATCTAAACTCCACAAACCAGAGAGAAATCCTGCAAGAATCATACTGAGGTAGGCGTATGAACTCTATCCAAAATATTCACAAGTTAGGCATAAAAAGTATGTCCTTTAACCACTGAGTAATAAAAATTAATTCAGTGTCTTAGAAATCTGAACAACTTGTTTATCAGAAGGCAGAACGAGGCTATATTCACCTGCTACTCACGCTGCAGAAAGCTGAGGGATTATGCCTGCTACGCTTTAGAGTTCCCATGTTAAATTTTCAGATACAGGAGAACCCACTTTGCTTGGTCTGGAATGCTACTGTTGAAGTTCTTTGAGGCAACTTTGGATCCAGCAAGCAGCTAGATGGTGACATTCAAAAGTTTACTAAATTCTTAAGTTCTTTTTGGGTGAGCAAAATAATCCCAAGGTTGAGGGAGGCTAGTGCTAACAAAAGCCAGGTTCATCTGCAGGTTACACCAGTGAGTCTGACATCTGTTTTGGATCTGCAGGAAATCTGTTTTTCAAATCGCCACTACAGGGCCTTGAATTTCTTTTTTTTTTTTTTAAAGATTTATTTTTATTATTTTTTTTATTGGAAAGGCGGATATATAGAGAGGAGAGACAGAGAGGAAGATCTTCCGTCCGATGATTCACTCCCCAAGTGAGCGCAACGGGTCGATGCTATGCCGATCCGAAGCCAGGAGCCTCTTCCGGGTCTCCCACGCGGGTGCAGGTTCCCAAAGCTTTGGGCCGTCCTCGACTGCTTTCCCAGGCCACAGGCAGGGAGCTGGAAGGGAAGCGGGACTGCCGGGATTAGAACCGGCGCCCATATGGGATCCCGGGCGTGCAAGGCGAGGACCTTTAACCACTTGCGCCACCGCGCCGGGCCCAGGGCCTTGAATTTCTTAAGCTTCTCACTTGAAGAATTCTGAATAAGGGTCGGCACAGTGGCTCAACAGGCTAATCCTTTGTCTGCCAGCACAGGCATCCCACATGTACACTGGTTTTACTCCCAGGTAGTCAAGTTCCTATCCAGCTCCCTGCTTGTGGCCTGAGAAAACAAGGATGACTCAAAACTTTAGGATCCTGCACCCACTTGGGAACCCAGAAGTTCCTAGCCCCTGATTGACTCAGGTTCAGCCTCTGTGGCCATCTGGGGAGTCAACTAGTGGACGGAAGGTCTCTGTCTCACCTTTTCTTTGTAAATATCTCTTTCAAACAAGCAAGCAAGCAAGCAAACAAACAAAACCAAACCAAAAAAACCCCACTGTTTTAAGAGCAGGGTATACTTGACTCTTCATGCTGTTTTTCACTGGGTTGTTAATGAGATAGATTAGTATTTATCTGAACAAATGGCAAGTCAGCTAAACAATCTGATTCAGTTCTGATAAGGTGTACTTTTTACCTTTTTATGAACAACTTCAATAAAAGTAAACAATTTTATCTCTGAGTGAAACATTTCAGGGCTTAGTTAACTATAATAGTGAAAATGATTTTAAAACAATCTAATACAGCTACCATTTCATATTACTTTGGCTATTAATGCCAACAACTAGTCACTGGAAGGTAAAATAAAACATGGAATAAAGAAAATGCTGTTTAAGTTTGATTTTGTTAGCCATCAACCTGGATTTCTTACAGCATCATTCTTGAAAGAGAATTTTGCTTTTTCTTTATAAAAATGATATGTTTATTGGACTCCCACGAATATGGTAAGCAACAAGCATCTGCTTTTTAAAAAACAAAGTGTTAAAAAAAAATTTTCAGAAGGTTTGCATACTATTTCAATAATCATTCAAAGGTTCTATCCTTTTCCATGGGCATGTTAAATTTCAAAGTAATCATTTCTCCTGTCAATTAAAACCCTAAGTGGTTCTCCTTGTCGAAGAGGTTTGCCTTTTATGGCATACTGCACCTTTAAGCATCATACATAATGAGCACACAGCAGTTTCTACTTTCTTTGCAACAATACTCTAGCAGCAATCAGTTAAGAATTAGAAAACCTATGTAAACACCACGTGGTGACCCACTTTTCTTATGTCCTTTGTATTGCTGGGATTTAGCCTTTTTCTTCTGTTTTGATGAAGCGGACTGGCTTTCTCTGGATGCTGAAAAAAACAAAAGGGAAAATTGATACCAGACAATTGCTTACAATTCTGGATAAAATTTAGATGAAGTATCTTTACCAAGAACACTATGTTATAAAAATACATGGTGATATGCAAATAAAGATACTTGCTCCTACACAACCAGGAGCTTCAAGACCACACATGTGTCACTGTTTCCTCAACAGCACTTAGCATATGCTCACAGACTCTGCCTGTGATGTTGAACTCACTGAGGCCGTCAATCTACCTGAATTTGGTGACTGTGTTTCTACACTCATGTAGCTGACTACTGAGCTCACACTGTTAGGGGACACACGGTCTGACTGTTGAGCTTGTTGTTGCGTCTCAACATCTCACCTGCCAAACAATCAGACATTGATATATTCTTGTTCTGTGAGCTCATAGGATGATTGGTGTGACACAGTCTTCTGGAGAAGTGCAGTTTTTACAAAAGAACACCTTTACTGTATATGAACTTACACTGTGATGCTGGAGGCTGTAGCTGATATCCAGTTAACTGACACCACCCTACAGGATAGAGGTCAGGGGACTCACAGTCTACCCACTGATCGTATTCTTCTTCCCATCCATCAAAATGTATCCTCAAGAGACGATGAATAATTCGAGTAACTGTAGCTACACATATTAAACGTGGCTCCATGAGGTCTACTGCTTCTAACTTCATTCCCACACGAAATCCATGATTTGGAACATCCTGACAGAGAGGCAAAATGTTAACACTTGTATAAAGAATGTACAACTGAACTATCAATAAACAGCAGAAGTCAAAGCAACGCAGCCAAACAACAGAGCCCCAACTCTTAAATTACGTTTTATTTATTTAAGTGTATTATGGAAGTGAAGCATTTGGGAATTCAGAAATGCATTACTTTCTATTTTACTCACATTAAAAACAGTTTGGAAATAAGCTTCAGCTATTTCAGAAAAAATGGGTTGTTATTATTTATTTCTATTAATTCACACTAAGCAATTCTAATACTAAGCAAAGACATCTTCATCAAAAAAGATTTGCATTTATGGGTTATCAAAAAGAAATGCCCACAGAAGATTTGCTCCAAGATTTAAATTTACCTTATTAAATAGTTTTACTGGTGCTGCAATGGAGCCAGTTTCCCTGAGGTAGTCAAACCATTTAAAAGGAAGTTTTGTGTAACCTAAAAAAACAGAACTGGAGTAAGCGGCAGTTCATTGAAATGAGAATACTAAAATGCAAAAAAAGATGCACAATGCACACAGTTTCAGGTTTTGGCTTACATGATCAACTCGACCTCAGGCTCTAACTCTGTCGGGTGCAGTGATTCCTCTAAGGTATAAAGATCTCATCTCTTTTCTGGACACACTGCTGTGTCTGTCTAACTTCGTGCAAAACCGACTTTCTTTTTCTCAGTGTACAAGGATGATCTTAACTTTTTCAGTCACAGGCTACAGAACAGTCTAATATTTAACACTTGAATTAATGCTTTTCGTCCTTTTGAAGAAAATCTAAAGGTGGAAATTTATTTCCTTAAATTAAAAAAAAAATGTACACAATAGCCTGTTGAGTACATATTATCATCAAGGTTTAAAGCATCAACTCTCATTGTCAAATGTACAATGGCTCCGGAAAAATTCTGTCTTAATGCTACTTGTTCATACAAGCTTACAAATAATGGCTTGCTTCAGGACAATATTTGCTGTGTATATATTTATATCACACATACACTACCTATTTGCTATACATATAGAATCACACAGCAAGAAAATCTAGGACTATGTTTTATGTAAACGAATGCTGTGCGCAAAGAATTAAGAATTAAGCTCCCGTGTTCATATCAGTATGGAATACCTCTGGGTGGAGTAAGTTCAATCATATTAATTTCACAGAAACCGACAGGGAAAATAGAAGGCGAGGTCGCATGGTAACAGAACCAGTCAGATCCGTCTGCTGCTTCTGAGCCATCAATCCCAATCATGAGGAATCCATCAGCCAGCACCTTTCAAAGGAAAAGAAGCCCAAGTGTCTGAAATTAGATACCATTATTAGAAAAAGATGACATTTTGAATTGACTCTCTAAAGAGTAAATCTATTATAAAAGGATCTCTCAATAGTGAAAAATACTTCTCTGCTAAATTATGTTAGCTAACAGAAGTTACAATGAGAAATCTATGTCATTTTCCAGTGTGTGCTGGAAATCAAGGCAGAATTAGTGAAGCAACTTCAGAGGTTTGGGAAAAATGCTGTCTTTGCCAGCAGGCAAAGCTGCCTACTCTTGTGGTAGCTGAAAGTGCACCAATTATGTAGGTTCTAAGTCCTATTCAGCAACACCTTACTTCTTCCCCACTGACATTCCAGTTTTCCAAGCATGCACGATCAGGAATCTGGAATCAGGAGCAGGGCCAGAACTTGAACTATGATACGGGATGTGGATGTTCCAAGCACTGACTGGACTACCATGAGAACGCCCACTGTGATTTCTAATCCTTTTAAAGTTTTACTTGTCTATTTGGGAACATGAGCAGGAGGGAGAGACAGATGGCTATCTGGCGGTTCATTCCCCAAATGCCCAGCACAGTGGAGTCTGCGCCAGGTGGGAGCCAGGAAATAGTCTGTCACGGGAGGGGCAGAAACACAAGCACTTGGGCCATGATCTGCTACTTCCCAGACTCACTAGCAGGAAGCTGAACAGGAAGCAAAGGTAGGACTTCACCCTAGGCACTCAAATACGGAACTGTCACTTGCTGCCTCCCAGATTATGCATTAGCAGGAAGCTTGGAGCCAGAGACGGACATCAAACCCAGGCACTCCAATATGACACCTAGGCATTGTAACTGGTATCTTACCCACTAGGCTAAACGCCTTGCTCTTTCAATTTTTAAATAGGATTATTTATTTTGGAAAGTTATTTGAAAGGCAGAATTACAGACAGAAGAGGATTAGCAGGGGGTTAGACTGAAAGTGGAACAGTCAGGTCTCTGATTGGTGACCATATACTAGCATTAGTGGGGAGGCCCAACTCCCTGTGGAACAATGCCGGCCCATTTTGCTTACGTTTCAAAAGGGGGGCAGTTGTCCTCACTTGATAAGAACAGGGTTTGGAACCAGTTTTGTTTAGCTGTATCACTCTGAACACAGGTATTTCGGATACTTAAAGGCTTTAATTTTTATTGGAAAGTTAGATTTACAGGAAGAAGGAGACACCGAGAGAAAGAGCTTTTGTCTACTGGTTCACTCCTCAAGTGGCTGCAACAGCTGAAGCTGAGCCTATCTGAAGCCTGGGCCAGGAGCTTCTTCTGAATCTCCCACATGGATGCGGGATCCCAAAGCTTTGGGTCTCCTCTACTGCTGTTTCAGGTACCACGCAGGGAGCTGGAAGGGAAGTGGAATAGACGGGATACGAATCGGAATCCATATGGGATCCTGGTGCATGTAAGCCTAAGATTTTAGTCACTAGGTTACAGTGCTGGGCCCTGTCATAATTATTTTTCAACTTTTGTATTTAAATGGAAATCCTAAACTTACACCTTTAGGTAAGTAGATTTTGGATCAGCGACTCATAAACATAGTTAAACAAGGGCCTTTGAAAATGATACTGCCAAGGTACTAACCAGAACTCACTGAATCCTAGTATGGGATGGAAGGGGTGCACCTGTCTCGAGCTTTTAAGTTTCCCAGGGAATTCTGATTAACTAAGGATATAATTCTACAACTAAAATAGTAGCAGATTCCAAATAATCATGACAGCAAGCCACATAAAAAGATGACTCAATAAGAAAATTCATGTTTCTCTTGAAATTACTAGGAAATCTCTCTAGATTTAGCCACACACACATTTTGTATCTACATTAGTATGGCAGAGAGGCGGCCTTCTACTGCAGTCTGTGCTGTAAAACCTAGTCTCTTACCTTTCTAATAGTTGCAACACATATTGTAGAAAGATTTAATGGGTCTATAGCTTCCAATTTCATTCCTTCTTTGAACCATTCCCCAGTTTGGTCTACTTCTTTTACCTGAAGAATTATATGAAAGGACATCTACCATTATAAATGTTGTCATCTTATTATAATACAATCAATTTGAAAAGGGCTACCAGATGCCTTCTCCTACCTACCTAGTATTATAATTCAAACTTTTCATTAGGAAGCAAGTTTCAGATACATAAAACAGATTTTAAAGGATAATTAGAATAAAAATGTGACACCTATGGATTATAATGTCTTAATCCTTTTAAGTGAACATAAGTGATTTTCATAATCTTAGGAAAAAAACCCACAACCCTCTTTCAAAGCTAATTTACAAATGAGGGTTCTTATAAAAACTTCTTACCTTAGCAAATAAATGTGGTGGTGTATCAAAATGTCCATCCTGTTTCTTTGTAATATCTACAAGGAAAAGTTACATACTAATCTGTCAGCATTTGTGAGAAGACCAAAAAACCACGTTTCTTTGAAGGCTTCAAACTCACAAGGCATGTAATACTCTAAAGGCCTGGCAGAAAGACACGCCTTCCACATTCACCCTGACCCAGATGCGCTCAGTTGGCTTGCTCGCCTGGGGACATGTGCATATTCATACAGTTCAGCCAATCAGAATGTCAGTAATTCCATTTAGGGAATTCTAACTTTAGAGGTATGTTTGAATGTGTTTGGTATCAAATCTAACCACATCTAATCCTATTATTTTAATTAGAAACTGTGATAAAAAGGGAAAGGCTATCTTTAGATCTTTCAGAAGATCTAAGGAGAAGAAAGATTAGAATAAAGTCTATACTATAAGTTTGTTGCTTTTTCAAATCAGAGGAGGTGGAAGAATGTAAATGATGACATTTATATGGTGCGAATTATTCATTAATTAAAGCTGAAGAGCCCAGTAGTCTGTTTTTTTTTTTTTTTTTGATCTACACTATTCTGTAGAAAAAAATAGCCAAATGAGCATAATTTAGCCTCCGTCATCTTTAAAATAGAAATTCTTGTAATGGATACTTACCAGATCTTTTGAATCGATGGCCTATACTTCGAGACCAACCGATATGATGGATCAACGGGCTGTGCATATGACACCAGAAGTCATCTGTCCTGTCTTCACTCTCTTCATACACCAGCCTTAATCTTCCTCCAATTACACTTTCCACCACTGCCACTCGTGTTCGACACAAATGCCTCTTGTCAACCACTTCTACTCTCATGCAAGGTTTGAAAGGATATTGCATACTCTCTGAAACCTTGAAACAAAAGCAGATAAAAACTTTGGGAATACATGACAAAGGCCCATAAATAATTCAACACTGTACTTTAAAAATATTGACTGTACTCTATATTTAACATAGATCACCCAGTTGACGAGGAATTCCTTAAAATTACCCTGTAAATTACCCTCTTTTTGAAAGCTGCTCAGTCCTTTATCAGAGCCTGTTTTTACCTTTTGTGAGAAGTCAGGAGGAAGGGTTTTGGCACCAGTCAGTCTTTTCACTAGAAAAGCTTTCCAGTTTGTATACTTATGTTGAATAGCTAAAACAAAAGAAATAACTATTTTACACTTCAGCAAAAAATGGAACTGCTTCAGAAATAATGTATTTTAAAATAGTGAAAAATTTCCCTGCAAGTCACAGTATCAGTTACAGTCTTGAAAAGTAACAAAAAACAGAGAAAACAAGTGTATCACTTGTTGGCAAAGTTACTTGGTAATCAAAAATAGTTCATTACTTCATGTAGTGCTAAAGTGTGAAATAGCCTTAAAATACATATATTTAAAATTATAGTGAGGTTAATTATGTGTTTAAATTTTTAAATTTATTTCAAGAGATGGGGGCAGGAAGACAGGGAAGAGGGAGGAAGGTTGGAAAGGAGATTTTGATTGATTTCCCAGTTTCTGGTTTACTCCTCAAATGCTGCCAGGAGCTGGTAATTCAGTCTGACTTCCCCGCCTGGGTGGCAGGAATCCAGCCAACTAAGCTATCACAATCTGCGTCCCATGGTCCATAGCAGCAGGCACTGGAGTTGGGAGCAGACCTGGGATTTAATCCAGCACTCTGAAAATGGATGGGACATCCATCCAGGTGGCAATTTACTTACTGGGCCAAGCACTTGCCCCTAGGGTAATTTTTATAAGTTACTTACTTCTAGGGGGAACAAGGGGTTTTCCACTGGCTGCACACCAACCAACTGGATGTATATCAGAACCACATATATTGCACCAGAAGTCCAGACCCGAGTCATTTTCAAATCCTTCATATCTTAAAAGCGCATTGTAACCTGAAACCAACAAATCATTGAATAATAAGGAAAAACAAAATGATATAGTATCCTGTGGTGTTCAATTATCATTGGCATCTGCCACAGAATGACCAGCACTTTAAATGACAAATGGGTAGAGCCCATCTTAGATAGGCTGGTTGAGCAGACTGTGGCTGGGTCTAAGAAATCTGTATTGCTACCCAGATGTTGTTCAATGTCATCTGTTTATACTGAGTGTGGATTCCTCCTTTCCATGCATTTCAGTTTCACCTATAATTTCTCAGTGAAAATTAGGGTAGGATGGTTTCCTAATGTTTAGTTTTTATAACAGAGAAGGTTATGAAAAGTTAGTAAAAATGCTGTCAAGTCACAGAAACCCAGTTATAGCATATTTCAAAATTACTTTATCTCTGTAACTCGATGAATAATTACTCCTGGATAATCCCAGACAATCTAACTCTATTATAAAGCAATATCTGTTAATGCTACATGAGCTCAATAAATGCAAAAGCTGGTGAGATCACTTAAAAACAGTATATTTAATGCAAATAGAAAGTCTTATTTCCTGAAGTAACAAAACATATTTATTGTGCTCGTAATTTAACAACACATACACTGATAAAGGTTTAATTTGAGGCTTTAGTGGAATAAAGAAAAGGTCAATAAGTGTATTTCTGGCCAGAGACTAAGGCCAGTTAGCATTTTAGAAGTTAAGACCTCACAATGAAGATTAATGACATTCAACCTTTACTTTTAAAATTCAGTAGTTTACAGAATAATTTATGGGCTTGCTAATTATTAACTGTAGCATATTAGTATCAAATATTAATTACTAGCATTAATAATTAGTACTAATTAATTATTGATGAACTGTAATGTCACTATCAGGATAATTTCTACAATTGCATTAAAATTGTTTAAAAGAAGGTCTCTAATGCATTGAGATAAACCAATACAAAACCAGAGATGGAAGAAATAATACTAGTATTAAATGTATTGGCTACCAGAACTATTTAAATGTAAATGACTTCCACGAATAGAAAACAAATGGCATGCTGGTTTTAAATCACGGTGTAGGGAGCCATGGTGCGGCTCTGTTTCTTAAGCTGCCACCTAAGATGGTGATATTCCATATCAGAGTTCTGGTTGCACTTCTGGTCTGCTGGGTATTTTGGATCCAGCTTCCTGCTAACATGCCTGGGCAGGTAGTGGACAGTGTCCTAAGTATTTGGGCCCATGCCATCAGGATAGGAGACGAGGATGGAGTTCCTGGATCCTGGCTATTGTAGACATTCGGGGAACAAACAAGCCGATGAATGTTCTCTCGTCTCTCCCCCATCACTCTGTTCTTCATATAAATAAATCTTTTAAAAGAAAACAATTTTCATATTCTAAATGAAGGCATTTAGAGAGTGCTTACACGGCTGGGAAAATGTTCAAGGTAAAGCTAGGGGCTTCAACAGGGTGATATGGGAAAGAATTGAGTAAGGGGTTCTCTTTCTGGAGGAATCAAAGCACAAAAATGACGCCATCAGCCTTGTCTGAGTAGATCACTGGAGCATGGTACTCAGCAAGAGCTAAAAATGTGGACCATTTTCTTCCTTTAAGGATGAACTCACCGAAGATGACAGAGCAGAAAAACTGAGTTGAGATTACTTTCAGCAGGGCAGTGCGGAATGCAGAGGGCCTGGGGCAAAACAGCTGGAGATGAGAAGTAGGATGAATCAGCCACCTCTTTCAGTAGTAATCTAGGGACAACTTTAAGATCTGAGTGGCTGTCCTTTCTCTAAAGCACTACAGCAACCTGTCATCTACTCAGAATACTTTCTCATAAATGCCTGTTAGTTCTGGCAGTTGTGCTCTTGATGGAAAAAAAAAAAGACGACTCCACTATGTATTGCTTGTCCACAGTATCCGATACAGTTATTACTTTTTCTTTTTTAAGATTTATTTTTATTTGAAAGGCTGAGTTTCAGACAGTGAAAGAGAGACTGATCTTCTAACTGCTGGTCCACTCCTTAGATTGCTAGAATTGAGCCAGGCTGATGCCAGGAGCCAGGAGCTTTTGCCAAGTCTCCCATGTGGGTACAGGGAATCAAGCACTTGGGCTATGCTAAGCTGCTTTCCCAGGCAATTACCAAGGAGCTGGATCGGAAGAGGAGCAGCTAGGATTTGAACTGGTATCTAAATGGGATGCTGGCACCTCAGTTGAAGATGTAATTTGCTATGCCAGAGTTTCAACCCCTAATATGGTTATTTCCTCAGTACTAAAGTTACAGTAGAGCAGGGAATGACAGAATAAAGAGAAATCAACATTGTTTATGTTTGCCATCATGGTCCTCATAACTTTTTTTTTTTAAATACTCCAGCTTTTGTTACTTCTCAAAGTATACTATGGCTCACAGATCTGGCTAATACACTTCAGTGTCCACACAACACACACACACACAGTTTCATTGGCACACAGTCATGCCCAGCCATGGCTATGTGCTGCAATTGCTTTCATGCTCTAGTGGTAGAAATGAGTAGATGGGACAGAAGGCACATGGCCTGCAAAACTGAGAATGTTTATTATCTCGGCTCTTTACAGAAAAACTGACCAACCTCGCCTTATATCAAAAACCTCATTTATTTGGAAGTATCTGCAAAATACATAAACTTAGAAAAATGTTACAAGCATCACTGCCATTTTCTAATAAATTACGACATGCTTTTCACCTGCTAACTTTACAATTCCAGCGATCCAGAAGACTTTGGTGGGCAGGCTGCAGTCTGTATTGGGAACTTCTACCCTCACGTTTTCTGAGATATCACCCCAACAGGTTCCCATAGGTGCCTGTTACACAAAAATAATTAGATTATTGTCTCATTAACATAAAGCCTAAACAAACACAAAATTAAGCATTTTCATTAATGGAACATTAAGTTAAAAATGCCATCTTAACAAATGTATTTTTCTCCAAAGATGTAGCTATCATTCTCTTATCCTTAAGTTTTATTTGAAAAATGCAAGTGTCAGTGTCAAACTCAAGCTGAAGATAAAATGCAAATTAGATTCAAGACAAATTCAAAATTCAACACTATCGTAATACAAGATTTAAGAAGCAATTTTCCTAAAATATAAACTTTAAAACAGACTTAATAAACTTACTATTTTCAATATGCGCTGAATGTATGCACTTTACCCTAATGTCTACTTTTAGAAGATTTAGACAGAGTGGAAAAAAAATTGTTCCAATCAGCAAAGTGCTTCCAAAAATCTATTTACAGATAAATAAAACTTAGTTATTATTTCCAATTTAAGCTAAATTGATAGGTTACAAGCCAAGGCATACGTGGATGAAAAACACCGGATAAAGTTAATAAAAAGGAGGAGTTGTCTGAAGATGAGTATTATGGTAAAGTGTTAAATATCTGATTGTTTTAAAACTTCTTGGCGAGGAGTTACAGAACATGTTTAGCAACAGGCGTGGTGATCACCAGTCACCAGACCAAACAGGCAAGAAGTGGAGGTGGAAAACCGGTAAAACAAGTAACACAATGGCGTTTTTTGAAATCTGGAGTCTGTTCCCAAATCACAATTTCTTTTACATTTTAATCCTTAAAATCCAAATGCAACTCAAAATTATCTGTAACATATGTAACTGAAAATTAAATCAAATTAGTGCATTTTGTAATACATGTTAAGTACTGATAAACAGTCTGTGGCCCTGAAGAACCAGATCCTTAAATGTAATTTGGAACCTTGATCAAAAAGAAAAGAAATAAGTAAAGTTAAAACAGACCTGATCGTAAGAACAAAGCAGAAAAAAAACAGCCTCAAAGCTCAAAGATGAGCAAAGACATCTAAGAATCACAGCAGCCAGCCACTTGGTACAGTGGGCATGTGTCTTTCTAGTAAGGACCTGGTCCTTAGTAGATGGATCCATCCAACTAGGGGACTAGCCTACAGCACAATTCATTCACTGTACTCCTAACAATGTATGCAATCTCTGCAGGAGAGGAAAAGAATGTCAAGTGATTCCAAACGAGGATAAGTCTAGAAACCATAGACAAGATATAAGCAATCAACCAACGTACCTCAATTAACTTGAATAAACGGTCTGACTCATTCATTCATAACTTAGGAAGGGCACATAAACTATCTCCTCAAGTTGTGCAAAAACAAAACAAAACAAACAAACAAAAAAACCAGTGTTTTCATTATTACTACCTCTTTTTTAAATTGAAAGATTGGACTCTTCAGGTTCTGCTACTCCCCTTATTAACATTCTAGACTGTAGGGCCATCCCTGTTGCCAGCAGATATGATCACAAAAAGAGGCTGGAAGGAAGATAGGTAATATAGATGAAGCTAATAATTATTAATATCAAGATCACGTATCCATTTCTGTGGGAATGAACCCAATTAGAACAGATTAAGCATTCATTAAATTGTACTAAATCAAAGTCAAGTATCCACTCCTCTTTGGTTGTATATCTGTGAATTGTAGGCTTTTTTTCATTGAGAAGAAAGAGCATGGTTATGCTGACAAGTAGGTGGGAGGTTAGGCTGACGTGTTCTAAGCAAATTTGGCACATGGGACTTTTGAGAGCTAGATATGACATTTTGTCACTTGTTTTTCAAGCCTTCACATTTGTTAAAATTTAATATGCTCACTTAAGAAATTAACATTCATTTTAGTGGCGGAAACGATGTTTGGGTCCCTACAGTCTGGATTGGTATAGGAGAAAGTAGCAGAAAGTGACATTTGTTCTTGCCTGTAAGGTTGTGGTTCTGCTAGGCCCTCTTAAACCAATCCATATGGTTCACTCTAAGAAAGAGAATTAAGAAACATCAACAAAGAGCACCAGTCACAGCATAGAACGTGCTCAACAGGTTGAAATAATAAGGTAATCTCACAGATAACATCTGCCCTTAGGTTTAAAATGAATATTCTTAAGTTGGAAGACTAAATGACCCAGGGCTTGACAGCCATCTTCATCCAAGTCGTCTGTCTTCTCCTGCTGGCAGGAGGGATACCTCTCAAAGTCTGGATTGGCACAGCATGAACCAGCAGAACCATAATTTACAGGTAACAACAAATTTACCTTCCAGACACAGGATGCGAGGCCCACCTCAGGCTCCTCCCAAACAAGGAAGATCTGCTGCACCACTTCCTGCTCCAGGGCCACTCGTGAGGGCTATCTGGGAGCGGCTCTCCTTCCCTGCAAGGTAAGCTGTCATCAGGTCCTGTGGGACACGGCCAAATCCAAATGCTGAGGGGGCCCCAACACCAATGTGGGCCACCTCCACCTTACTATCTGTTGGAAGACAATAAGTGGGCGGGAAGTCTTATTTTCTGTACTTCAAGAGCATTCCCAGACAGTCCAAAAGCCCAGAGGGCTAACATTCAAATTGTAGAGGGCCTATTCACTGCATACACATAAGGTTGAAACAGGATTTCCCTCTGCAGAGCTGCCAACCTGTAATTTCTCATAAGTACACACAACCTTCAATGTTAATAAACAACATGAGCAGGTGGAGTTTAGAGGCAAAGTTGTGCACAGGTAACTGTGAATCTATCCCAATTACACAGCAAATGCATATTAATCACCACCGAAACACTCTAAGACTGATAGGCACATGATTACTAAAGTGCATCTAGCCGGGAGAGATAACACATTTCACCAAAAAGGGGGAGACAGAGAAAACTACTTAACAAGATTAAAAGCAAGTAGGAACAGAAACAGAAAAATAACAAAAACAAAAACCCAGAAAACAACCAAAGCAGCCAAAAAACCCCACTAAAACAAAACAAAAAAACCATCTGAAACTACCCCCACCTTCCCCAGAAGTCCATTAACATTCTGATTTAATATCAGAATCTACTTTTGGGGGTGGTTGTGGTGAGAGACTAGGAATATAAGAAGACAAAAGGAAAATGGAAGTAAGATTTAAGGATAAGCAAATGCCATGCATAAATAGACAAAGTAGAAGCTACTAATAGGAAAGATATAAAATATTACTTTTTTAAAAAAAGAAATCATAACAAACCAGTGTTATTTAAAATTGTGAAATGTGGGCCCCACATGGTAGCCTAGCAGCTAAAGTCCTCATCTTGCATATGCCAAGATCTCAAATGGGTGCCGGTTCTAATCTTGGCAACCCCGCTTCCCATCCAGCTCCCTGCTTGTGGCCTGGGAAAGCAGTCAAGGACATCCCAAAACTTTGGGACCCTGCACCTACATGGGAGACCCAGAAGAAACCCCTGGCTGCTGGCTTTGGATTGGCTTAGCTTTGGCTGTTGCAGCCGCTTGGGGAGTAAATCAATGGACAGATCTTTCTCTCTCTCCGCCTCTCTGACTTTCCAATAAAAATAATTAAAAACAAAATAAATCTTTAAATCATAAAGGCAGATTTTACAAGGAAGGACAGAGAGATTGTCCATTTGCTGGTTCATTCCCTAAATGGGTGGCTGCAATGGCCAGAGCTGAGCTGATCTGAAGCCTGTAGCCAGGAGCTAGGAGATTCTGCTGGATCTTCCATGTGGATGCAGGGTCCCAAGACTTTGGCCATCCTTTATTGCTTTCCCAGGTCACAAGCAGAGAGCTGAATGGCAAAAGGAGCAGCAGGGACATGAACTGGTACCCATATAGGATCTTGGCAGATACAAGGTGAGGTTTTAGCCATTGAGCCATCATGCCAGGCCCATTATTCCTCTTTCGACTCAACTCCCGGAAAAGCAATTTGATATAGCCCAAGTGGCTTGGGCCCCTCTGCCACCAAAGTAGGACCTGCAGACAGAGCTTTGTCCTCCTGGCTTTGGCTTGGTCCAGACTTGGCCCTTACGGCCACTTGGGGAGTGAAATAGTAAATGTAAAATACCCTTCTTCTCTCTCTCTCCCTCTTTAACAATGCTTTTCAAATATTTTTTGCTTAAGAAACATAATAAGGTTTCTTTTGAAAAAAAAAAATATATATATATATTTATTGGAAAGCCAGATATATAGAGTGGAGGAGAGACAGAGAGGAAGATCTTCCATTGATTCACTCCCAAAGTGGTCTCGAGGCCAGAGCCAAGCTGATCAGAAGCCAGGAGCCAGAAGCTTCTTCTGGGTCTCTCATGCGGGTGCAGGGACCCAAGGCTTTGGGCTGTCCTCCACTGTTTTCCCAGGCCACAAGCAGGGAGCTGGATGGGAATCAGGACTGCTAGGATTAGAACCAGAGCCCATGTGCAAGACAAGTACTTTAGCACTAGGCTACCATGCTGGGCCCATAACAAAGTTTCTTACATAAAGTTAATCTACTACTAGCATATCTTTAAAAATGCTTTTAAGCCTAAAACTACATTAGGGTATCTTGAAAAGCTTATGGAAAATACACTAAAGAGTATTTTATTTTAGTGTAAAAGGCCTCGAAATCCATGATTAGATTTTTTGTTAACAGGTGAGGTACAGCCCCTCAAATTTTAGAGGGGTGAAACACTGCATACACATAAGGTAGAAACAGGATTTCCTTCTGTAGAGCTGCCAACCTGTAACTTCTTATAAGCACAAGCCTCAATGTCAATAAGCAATAAGAATAGGCAGAGACTACATGATTTTTTTCGCACAAAAATTAACATCTTCCAATACTATTTTTCATGAACTTTCTGGTGTACTTGTCTTGGACATTTGGTGAAGAAGTATTACTGATCTAAGCCTTTAAATAATTTTTTCACAGGTGGCCTCCATTGAGTCACAGCCAGTTGAGCTGTCACTTGCAATCCTGGCATCTCATTTGAGTGCTGGTATGAACTCCAGCTGCTCCACTGTTGTTTCTGATCCAGCTGCCCGCTGACACATCTCGGAGAGC